TTTTATACATTCTTTTGGGACACCCTGTATATAGAACTGATAGTTACATTCCCCATGTCATTGTATCCGCCTGACGATGAATGGCCGAAAACGGGATTTTCAATCTAACTCTAGTCCGAATATTCCTTTATTCAATATGGGCCTAGGTTTACGTTAGATACAAACGGCTTGCAGATATTTTTCAAAAACGCTGAGCAGTGGCCAAGATTTATCAACAAAGAGATACTTTTTATTACTTATTTGTTCAAACTGCACCAGTTAACATCAAATCAACCAAATCATTTTTTTTCTAGAAACTAGCTGTATATGGCGAAAGCGATGCTTCATGTGCTTAGGTCCGAAGCGTCGGGAACCGCACCACAGGGAGAAATGTGACTACGGAATTAGTGTAAGTACCCATCTTTATATATTCTTCTATATAGACTTGAGCATAAATGTTTGAACGCTTCTTATCTGTATCTATATATGACTAAAGTTACACTTTTTAATACCGTGTTGTCCAAACTCCTTTAGCATCTGTTTACTAATATCATAGGAACCAGCTGTGGACGGCAAAAGTTATGCTCCCCATGAACTGGGGCATCGGAGGAGGAACGATACTATTTACTGTACACATTTCCTAATTTATCTTTCTATCAATAAATTATCCACCACTCATAACCAGTGTCTTGTGCTCTACGTCATGCGACTGTGGGTACAGTGAAGGATCCGTACGGCTAGGCTACCGATATCGTGAAAATAGGCGTCCCCTGCGCACTATTTTTGGTGGAGGGGTAGGAGGGGGCCACATCGTGAATTGCGCCATAATATCCCCAGTATTGACCTCTTCTATCCCTGCCAAATCCCTCTCGTACCCCGCGGGGCTTGAAGGGGATTGGAGGAGTTCGTGTTAGTAAGGAGTTCAATGCTGACTTAAACTGTTTAAATGCAAATTCCATCCCCACTCGCACTGACTGGTATTCTCCGACAATCGATTCTTCCTTATTACCAAGTGTCTTTGCTCCTGTTTCTGTGGCAACAGTGATGAAACACCTTATACATGTTTGAGGTTTAACAGCTGCCGGGCCAGATTGTGTCTCACCGTTTCTTCTGAAATCTTGCCCTTTTCGGTTGGCCCCTGCCTTGACACACCTTATCAAATTATCCTTCATGGAGTCTGTGATTTCCGATGATTTGCGTTCAGTGAGAAGCACTCCCAACCCGAAAAAACCTACTTCCGGTCTCAAAATCTTTCGTCCAATTGCCTGCTATTCTGCACTATTGAAACTTGCAGAACGAGTTGTTTTGGACATCACTGTTGTAAATATAGCCAAAGCCGAGATGACCCCACCTAATTACGTCTTTGTGTGAGTCCCTAAGGAAGACACCGACAAGAAAAGCGCAAAAGCAGAAGTCTTTTAGCGTAAGTAGTACAACATATTTAACGTAACAAACGCGAATAAAGATATGTCCATCGGGCCAATCAGATACTGTTCTGATACTGTCTTGTAACTCAACGGCTGACTAGTAAAGTCTTAGCTTGGCCGCAGCTTTAAATTTTAAATTATTGATTGATTGATTGTCAGTCTGCGTTCACTGCGTGTAGGCCGATCGACAGCCTGCCGTGAGCGCGGCTCGCTGCTTGCATGCTGGCCGCCTGCTAGCTGACTGCTTCTAACACCTCCTCTTTGAGCCGAATCGTAAGATTTGAGCTGTGGGTTCACTTGCAACGGAACAGTTTGCGTTCTTTTTCGGCTTAATCGGCTAGAGGTTCGGGGAGCTCGGTTTGCTACTAGCACTGTGGTTTCTTGCCTTGGTTTTGGCAGATCGAATGTCACCAGTACTAGTTACAGTGATAAGGTTGGGCTTGGATTTGGCACTTCAGCATATTCAGTGTGTTTCAGCTGATCGGTGTGGCGCACCCAAATTTCTGAGCAGACTCGATTCTCGTAGACAGCGTCACCGCGCTTTCGGTGAACTCGTCCAAGCGTCCACTTCTTCCGATTGTTCCTGCAGTCCTTTGCCAGCACTACCTGGTCCGGATGGAACAATCGTTGTTTTGCACCGTGGCGTCCGTTGAATTGCCTTTCCATTGACGTCGAATGGGCTGATTTATCAACAACACCGACAGATGCCAGCGAACGAATAACGTCAAATGGTGTGCGAAGCTTTCTTTAAATCAAAGCTTCTGCAGGGGAGACACGGTTTGGAGTGTTGGGGTTTGGGGTGACTCGATAGTTCAGCAGGAATAGTTAGAGAACTTTCCTCTGTCGTCTTCTCCCCTTTTGGCTTCTGGAGAGCCCGCTTGAAGGTGTCGACGAATCGTTCAATCTGTCTTTTGGACTGCGGGTGATATGGTGGCAAATACAGGTGGTTAATGCCCAACTGCTTGCAGAATTGGACGAAGGTGGCTGACATGAACTACCCTCCGTTATCGCTCACCAAGGTTTCGGGACAACCGAACCTGCTGAATAGTCGCCGAAGAGTGTTTATTGTCGCTCTGGCTGTCATGTGTTCCATGAGACCGACTTCTGGCCATTTTCTGTATGCGTCAACGGCGATGAAGAAGTTCTGGCCATTGAGCAGTCCAGCATAATTGATGTGAACGCGGGACAAAGGGACTTGTGGAACAAGCCATGCTTTGGGTGTGGTTTTCGTAGGCGCCTTTGATGCAAGATCGCATTTGGCGCATGAGCAGGCCAGTTGTTCTAGCTGTTGGTGCATGTGAGGCCAGTGCACATAACTGCGAGCGAGAATCTTCATGCGGTTGATGTCGGGATGTCCGTTGTGAAACTGTCTCAAGACCCTGGCTTACAGCTTTTTTGGGACAACGACACGTTCGTAGAACAGGATACAATCGTTAATGGTGGACAGAGAATTTCGTCGTTGGTGGAACTGCTGCAATTCTCCAGAAATTTTCGCGGTACTTGATGATTTGTCTCAACAGCCGATCCTGTTGGGTTGCGTATCGGATATCCTCAAACATGACAGGGAGTGCACGAACGGAATCCATAAATAGACTGTTGACTTCGGACTCAACGGAAACAGACATGATAACTGTGTCCTCAGGCTCTTAGTCCGTGAGTTGATTAAGCACAAGAGTGCGTCTGCCTGACCGATGGTTGTTGTAGACTG